TGCTGCGCTCCCATAGGTATTGTTAGACTCCAAGCGTTCGAACATATATACACCAATCCTTGCAGAAGGATGCCAGATTGTGCTTAACCTTTCTGCGACCACTAGAGCCCAAGAGTACTCTGTGTCATCCATAACGGTCCAGTTGATGTATGAAGGCAAAGGCTGATCGTTCATTCGCACACCATCAACGCTGGGTGTATTAGCAATCACCAAGGCCCTACTGCTTGAGGAATTAAAATCTACCAGATAGCACCCAGAGAACATGCTTATCGGAATGAGGTCTAGAATGAGCCCAGGACTAACTAATCGAAGGGAAACATGCATGGAAGTAGAAATAAGTGAGGCCCTATCCATAAAATTTGGTAATAATGGCAGGATGTCTGAAGAATTTTGCACCCAGACATTAGTACAAGTAGTAAAATAACCCTGACAGACCCTGAAGGGTTGATTTGTTGTCACAAGTAGCTGTTTGGCCCTGAAGAAGGGGGGCATGGGGAATATGTCTGTCTCGTCATTTAACACAAATGGTTGGAGCTGGTTCAGAATCATGTTGCATGAGCAGTTTTTGCTGTCAAAACACGGATGGGTCAGAATCACAGCCACTTTGTCCTCTGCATTGATTTCTCTCACCGTCCCATTAATCTGAATCTGGTAAAGATGGTAAGGATCGAGCATTATTGTATCTTCTTGGCTCTGACCTCTTTCATCTACCTGTTTGATGATGATGTTGTTGTCCATGCCCACTGCATTGATAATCATCAGCCTAAAAGGGAGGAGTCTGACATTTGATGTCATCATAAGGTTAAAGGACACGGCTATCTTGGTGTAATTCAAAGAGGGAACATGATACACCTTTCCCAGATTTTGTTCAGGCTGGACAACGTGAGACTGGAATCCCCCCTTCCATCCACTCACAGAAACCACTGTGATGTTTTTATCACTGGTGATTCGAAACGTCTTATTGGAAGACACAAACTGGGATTCTTCAACCTCCTTCGTCAAATTCAAAGTCCAAACGGTTCCATTTGCAAGGCTTGCATTTGTGGTGGCGTTGCCGTTGGCCATATAGGTGACATTGATCGTAGTGTCTGGGTGAAGGGTAGTGATTTTGAATAGGTTAAAGGTCTTCCGATAATAAAAAGCAATATTCTCGGGGAATGCAGTGATGAAACTTGTCCCACGATTGTCCATTGAAAGCCCTGTGAATGTTCAACAGTCTAATAATCATGTTCGTTTCAAATTTCAAACTAATTTTCAGCCAGTGATAATCACTACAGATGCACCAACAGGGTAATTACTTGTATCTGGTATCAATATAATCATCAGTATTCTGAATATATTGGCATAATTGCACTTTAAAATTTCAACCAATTTGAGAACATCACATTTTTTAAACATGAACGATAAAAAAGATGGCCAATTGCAATATGTATAACAGCAATTCAAGGATAGGACTTGAGCACAATCAATTTAATAAAAAAATTTTTTTTTAAAAGTTCAAAATGTTTGGTGTCTTGAATTGGTATTGGTGCATCCCTAGTAATTATATTAAAGGAACACTCCACTATTTTTGAAAATAGGCTGATTTTCCAACAGTTAAACAGTTGAGTTTTACCGTTTTCAAATCCATTCAGCCGATCTCCAGGTCTGGCGGTAGCACTTTTAGCTTAGCTTAGCATAGATCATTGAATCCGATTAGACCGTTAGCATCTCGCTCAAAAATGACCGAAGAGTTTCAATATTTTTCCTATTTAAAACTTGACTATTCTGTAGTTACATCGTGAACGAAGACCGACGGAAAATGAAAAGTTGCGATTTTCTAGGCCGATATGGCTAGGAACTATACTCTCATTCCGGCGTAATAATCAAGGAACTTTGCTGCCGTACCATGGGTGCAGCAGGCGCAATGATATTACGCAGCGCCTGAAAATAGTCCCAGCTAGGTAACTTCCAATAAACCTATTTTCAGGTGCCGAGTAATATCATTGCGTCTGCTGCACCCATGGTACTAAGCTACAGCTAAAAGTGCTACCGTCAGACCCGGAGATCGGCTGAATGGATTCGAAAACGGTAAAACTCAACTGTTTAACTCTAGGGGAGTTGGGAAATGAGCCTATTTTCAAAAATAGTGGAGTGTTCCTTTAAATAATTCAAAACAAAAGATTTGTCTATATGCATTATTTACCTTGACTAAACATCAAAATGGTCAAAAGAACAGCCAACATGACTGCGTATTTTGCATGTGCAGCTCCACCTTGTGTGAAGTTGGTTTCAGTTGCTGTGCACTAAGCTGCCAAAAACAATAGTAAATGACAAATTATTTTTAAAAACGCTTAGTCGATCCAGTGTTTATTATACAAAATTCACATGCAGACAACAGTAAACCATATTTTCCACTGAGGAAGCTCTTCTTACAGTTAGTCAAACTAGAAACAAGACCATGTAAAATACCTGCTTTCAATATGTTTTGTCTTTCATTTGAAGTTGCTCTTTTTTTTTTGTGTGGGGGGAGGAGTAAAAAATATGGTACAAAGTAATACTGTGAAATATTAATATAATTTAAAGATCACTGTTTTCTGTCTTAATATATTTTAAAATGTAATTTATTCCTAAGCAAAGCTGGATTTTCAGCAGCCATTACTTCATTCTTCAGAAACGTTTTGATGAATATAAAGTTTAAAAGAACAGCGTATATTTGAAACTGAATTTTTTTGTAACTTCAGAAATATCTGTAACTTTTGATCGGCTTAATGCCTTGCTGAACAAAGGTATTATTTTCTTTCAAATACATACAATTCATTCAGAAGTACATCTACTGACACTAATGTCCTTAGATGTGTTCAGATTCAGAAAGCACTGAAAATTAAATTAACATTTCACAAGCAAGAAACTAATTTTAAAAAGTAATAATTATTTTTTTTTTTAACTATAGCTATCAAGAATATAGAAAACATAATCCTGATGAATAACATTAATAGTTTACTCTTCAGCCTATAAAATTGTGTTGAGCAGCCCTACATCGAGTAGTCATATGTGACCCTGGAGCACAAAACCAGTCTTAAGTCGCTGGGGTATATTTGTAGCAATAGCCAAAAATACATTGTATGTGTCAAAATTATCAATTTTTCTTTTATGCCAAAAATCATTAAAATATTAAGTAAAGATCATATTCCATGAAGATATTTTGTACATTTCCTACCATAAATATATCAAAACTTAATTTTTGATTAGTAATATGCATTGCTAAGAACTTCATTTAGGCGATTTTCTCAATATTTTGATTTTTTTGCACCCTCAGATTCCAGATTTTCAAATAGTTGTATCTCGGCCAAATATTGTCCAATCCTAACAAACCATACATCAATGGAAAGCTTATTTAATGACAAAAATTTACAAATAAAAAATGACAAATTTACACTTAAGACTGGTTTTGTGGTCCAGGGTCACATATATTAAATACTAAAAGGTTTTAGAATTTCATACAAAGTGCACTAAAAACTAGAAACAAATATTAGTTAATATCTAGGAGGCTGTATTAAATCTTTTTGATTCTTTCAGATAAATGCATCAGTTGAAGTTAATCAACAGCAACCACAAAAGAGTTATTTTCCACTGATTTGTCATTTGCTTAAATTCTTATTAAATTTCTACAGACTTTACAATGGTCTATAAAGACAACCAATTGTTCTGCTTAATCTTAGATTAGAAAAATTCTATTCTAAAGAAAAATACTACTCTAAATATTGATAAAGTGCTATGCCTGCATCCCAAAGATCACTTTTAAGGAGAACATTCAGAAATATTTAGTTTACCTAATTCAAACATAAATTAATAAATGAGATTGTTTGCTTCACTGCCTCAAACGATAAAACATCCTACCTTATCGTGGCCAGCACTCTTTCTCTATCTGAACAGAATAAGCCGTGCGTTCACTGCTCATTCAGTAAAAGAACATTTGACATTCAAAAACTCCTCTCTCTTCTCCCCATGTGGTTTTGCATACGATTCTAGAAAGGTTTGTGTCTTAAGATCAACAAGTTTCATATTACAGATCTAGAAATTCACCAAAACCTTCGTAAGACACTTTATTCACTCAAAATACTTCAGTTCCAAAACAGTCCTCAAAGGAAAACAGTGTTACAATTTCATCAGCAACCGAACTGATAATTGTTTGTATATCTACACATCACAACCCTCAATTATATTGTTAGAATTTTTTTTCTGAATTTTACAAAGTAGAAATTTCTTCATGAATATACAACATAAAGCTCCATATTTCTCTCAAGCGTTCACTGTCTTTGTACTTTACTCTGACAAGCAGTCAGTGGTGGGAAAGCATGAAATTTGTTTCAAGTTTTGACTTAAGTTCTCCACTGCTGCTGATATGCCTAAAATCTGAGCAAACAACATACGTTTTTCAACTGAATTATATCAAAAAACAACACCCAATCTGCATGCTTTCAGACTTTCTGAGCTGTGCCATTTAAAAACACTGGCGTTTGGTCACAGCCCTTCAAGGCCACATTTGTGTATTTTCTGCACAGACATATTTGGTATTCAAAATACACAATTTCCTTTCCTTTGCATAAAACAATGGAAAGGGTTAGTGGCTAAACATTACCTATCTTCATTCTTCTGACATGAAAACCTTAGCCTGGCACTTACTACGTTTATCAAATCTGCAAAAACATAAAACAAATATCAAGTGTATGGTGTTTGTTTGCTTCATGGTTTGAATTTCTTCCTGAAGCAGCAATAAAAATCCACCTGTTTCACCTTTAAAAAAAATAAAATAAAATAATATATATATATTTCAACAGTGATTACATATGATCACCAATCTGGACAAATATGTATTTTTCTAACACAATTTTTTAAAACAATTTATACCATATATACTGAAAAACATCAGCATATATAATCAAGACATCTCTACAAAAAAAACCTACAGACTAACTGTTTTTCCAGTAAGATATTTTAATGGAAAAAAAACATGCTGATGTATAAAAATTATTGTCTCTTTGGCACAATATTTCAATGGAGAGATTTAGAGTGAGGCTTTTCTGAAGTCAGTCTCATTTATTTACAGAAATAGTTAAGGGTGAATAAATAAAGACAGAATCTTATTTTTAGGTGAACTATAAAGGGACTTGTCATTACATACCCTTTAAAACGCCCATTTTTATGACAGACATTCTCAAGATATGGTACTTCAAAAGGGAAAATATACTCATTATGAACCAAGCTATGGTAGTAAGATGCAACACTGATTTAATCCTGCCCACCCCCAGCATGACCGAAAGGTTTTCGTGGCTTGCGTGGACACTTTCCTCTCCCAGCCCCTTCTGTCCTTCCAGTCCCTGTTCCACCCCTCTTCCTTCTCTGTCCATGTTTCGGAGTTGCTGCTTCCTCTTTGCGAGCCTGAGCCCACAAAGCATCAAAAGAACCTGGAGCTTGGTAACCCCGCTGGTTCTTATCAAGTGGGTCTCTGGAGAGCAGAACCCATATACTGGGTACATTTCTGTTGACTGTGAGACGGTCCAACCCGGCATCAGGCTCTAGGGGCTCCCAGACCTCCTGAACTGTGCGATAGACCAGTTTGGTGTGCTGGTGTAGGCCGTGTACACGCCGTTTCATGATCTCCACGCATGTGATGGCTTTAGCCACGCTCTGACCCACACCAGTGAACACGATTTGACGGCACAGATTCTCCCCCGACCCAACACTCACCTCTGGGCCTTCATGAGGGCCTGGATGATCTGCGGAGGCTGTTTTCTCCTCCATACGGCTTAAAGCAAACCTCATGAGGTTTCGGATTTTGCTGCCATCCTTCACTCGAACTTCTGGAGTGTCGCTGGGCAGCTCGGGGAATGGACACAGGGAGGGCTGCTCGACTGTACGTGCTTTTCTGTAGTTCTCCATATCATGTAGCCTTTACCTGTGGAAATTAAGAAAGACACAAGGCAAATCTAATGACTGTGTATGAGTAGTTTGTTTTGCAAAAACATCCCCTCAAAAAAAAATCTTTAACTGTACCAGTATAAGACCAATTGGTAAAGTGTGTTTTCTTTACCAACTATTTTGTAAGTTGGTTTCAAAGACCAAAGACCCAGGTTCATATATATTTTTTTAAATTCATAAATTACAATTTTTGTGACAGTATACTCTTGAACAAGGGTGATTTTCATCAATGACAGCTCGGGGTAAGTGACTATTACAAAAATGTGTTCTCTATTTAAAATATACATTTAATCATTCGAAAACAGCATTATTATTCAGAGTGGCACATTAAATGTATTGCAAACTTACTTTCCCGTCCTTTGCTAAAGTAGCGATCTGGCTAACCAGTTCAGATATCTGCAGCTGTTTTTCTGAAAAATGCGGGCTTTTGTCGTTCCATAAGAATAAACTGCGGCCTCTGAGATTCGACAGTCTTTTTAAAATACTGAGTTAACTACAAGCAAAACGACACAGTTTACGAAATTAAAATGTTACGCTACAATTCACACAATCCACATGTAACAGCGTGTGACGTACGCTGTCGATAATGTGACAATATGCCGTAAAGTGCCGCACATGTTCATGGGAAGTGTAGTTTCAGGGCCGGATTATCCAATGGGCATGATGGGGGCCCGAGCGAGTCAAAGAAAAAATTTCGGAGTGTCTATTTACACTAAGTGCAAATAGCACGTCTTGTTGGCATATACTGTAACTTAATTTTTCAAGTTATCGATTCTGCCTATTAATATTCTTTATTTTTACTTTATTTTTCACTTATGCATTAATCATATGCATTTATTTAATATTTTGTTGTGCAATAATAGGCAAGCTCAAGCAATGACCACATATGGCACGAGGAGGATAATCCCTTTAAGATGTCAAATTACTTATCAAATTCATTTATTTTTACATTTCTGCTGCTCCTTTTAAAAGAGATGTTGTAACAGCACAGAACGTCAACAAGAGTTATTTATTAGGACAGAGCGCCACCAAGCGTTCAGAATCAGGAACGTGTCACAGCCGATCCCATGCATGAGCGAACTGTCTGAATGAATCAACGTGAATCCCAAACAATTTCAAACTTTTTACAAACCCATTTGACCGAATAGATCGATAGTGATTCTTTCTCGTTATCTCTGATTCTAAACAACTGATAGAAAACATAGACATGACTGCTGAATTTTTTATGAGGGAAACAGCTTAGTTATTAGGTCAGTAAACCAAACTCCACCATCAGACGAGGGTTTTTAAAGATAAAGCATGTGTAGTAGTAGATGAGATCTTAAAGTGATAGTTCACCCAAAAATGAAAATACTGTCATCATTTACTCAGCCTCAAGTTGCTCTAAACATGTATGCATTTCTTTGTTCTCCTTAACATAAAAGAAGATATTTTGAATTTCAAGAATGTTCGTAACCAGAAAGTTTCTGATCCCCATTGACTCCAATAGTGTATCTTTATTTTTTTTCATATTATGGAAGTCATGGGGGCCGAGCAACTGTTTGGTTACCAGTATTGTTCCACATATATTATTTTGCATTCAACAGCAGAAGGAAACTCATACAGGTTTAGAACACCAACAGAATTATCATTTTTGGGTGAACTATTCCTCTAAAGCAGCCTAATATAGCTGCTGTTGCCATTTGCGTCAATAATGTAAATCAAATCTTTCTTTCAATCATCAGAAAGAAAGACAATCACTCACTGTCCTTGACTGAATCACTTTTGTAAAATAAATAAGAATGAATGTATTTTAAATGTATAGAGTGAAGACTATTCAGTCTATTTGTACATTTACTTTATACAATATAATATTTCTTAGTCAGTTCTTGATTTTTTTTAAATAGGTCGATTTCTTATGTATCTTAGCTCAATTTGTGACTGTTTACTTGTCTTCAGTAAGCTTGTTTTTACTTAGCCTAGTATTATTATTTTGTGTATGTGTGTGTGATATTGAAATTGGTATTAAAAATTTTGATAAGATAAAAATCCTATTTAAAGCCATATGTATATCATTATTGTGAAGGGGGGCCCTGCTGTAAGTCATAACTCGGGGCCCAGTGAGGTCTTAATGTGGCCCTGTGCCCAGGGGCAAGATAGCCCCTCAAACTTATTTTTTCCTCTTGACCATAGACATTAGTCTATTTTTAATTTTGTCATTTTATCTGAATATCAACAACAGTTTTTGAGATTTAGTCAGTCGAAACAGTTTTGAGGTTAATTTATCAAATTTCTCTTAAAAAAAAATAGTGATCTTTGTGGAGACATCAGTGTTTTTAGATATTCATTTTGAAGTAAGAAAAAAGAGGTAACATTTGTATCCTTTTATTGTTTTTATATCTTTTTTATTAAAAAAATCAGTCTGAATCTTAGTGTTGCTATTATGACATATCTTTGATTAAAATATAGTCAATTAAATATGTAAATTTTCATATGCTTGCATAGAAGTACAAGTCATTGAATAAATTTACCTCTCAGATTAATGTCTTTTACTTGGATTCTGTCTTGTCTGTCATCCGTTATTCAATTATTTAACAAAATTGTTAAAACAAGGCAGAGGGGCTTCTTGCCTTTTTGAATAATTTTACTACATTTTGTGCTATAACAACCAAATGAGCAAATATTTCTGTTTATTTCCCTTAAAGGTAGGGTAGGCGATTTCGGAGAGGCTAATAGCAAGCTAGCTTTGAAACCATAATTTCCACCCTCCCTGCAATGGAGGTATGCAAACAAATACAAACATTGACAGGCAGGTAGGACAGCCTATACGATTGGACGAACATTTTATGGTCCTACGCCTTCCACAGACTATATAAATACATATAAATAGCCTACAATAAAAACCACTTAACTTAGTGATTGCTATCAGGATGTCACGAGACTTTCAACCGGCATAACAAAAAATGTTTTTGAACCAAATCACCTGCCCTGCCTTTAATAACGCAATGCATGATCATCTTAAACTTATATCTCAATCTGTTACAGTTTAAAAGTAAATGCACATTGTTCTTAAAAGAGGCATCTTTGCCCATCTTACCCTAATATTTTACTGGGGCTCGTGTCCCAGTAAAAAGGGTCTAGCGACACCACTGATCATAGCATCCATACCACTGAAACACTGCAAAAGGACAAAATCTTGATCTTCACTATTCAGCCATCAGTAGCCTAAATGTACAGTATGTCATATAGTTGTTTTGCATGCATGTTTGTAAAGTAGCTTTCCAACAGATTAGTGCTTTTAAAAATACCCACATCTATCCAGCCTTGGTCAATGAGAATTTGCATTTAGGAGAATGCATAATTTGCACAAAAAGCACTCAACACTGCCTCTAGTGAAGAATATTTTATCAAAACATAATGTGTTATACAAGGGAACATAAAGGTGGCAGATTTGCATGTTACTGGTGAAATTTCCTGTTTTATGAAAGCTCATTTCTTCATTTAATCAAACAGTAATTGAGATATCTTTAAATCTTATAGTTTTCAAAAGTTATAGGCCTAAATGTAGATGGTTTGGGTTCAAGCATACAGAACTATGTAACACTGTATGACAGCAATGAAAATAAATACTTAAGGCACAAATAAGGACTGCATGCATAAAAAACAATGCATTATATCTCATGATTGACACTAAATGTCATGCTTTATACAATTTTATTTTGTTATATACACAATTTGTTATATACAACCCTTTAAAGTTGTACGTTGATTATAATGTTTTGTTCATTTTGTTAATGATATACATTTTAATGTTGATGTGGCATTCATAACTTCCAGATCTACCTCCTGCTTCCATTTGAGTCAATGTCTAAGCTAAGTTGAAAAACAGTTGAATTCAAAATGCCTCTATACATTTATGGTATCAACACAACTGCTTAATATAACCTTAACCTTATATAATTTTATCATGTATATAAAATAAATCTAACAGCTCAGATATGCAGGTGGTTATGCAAATATTAACTTAATGAACCTAAAGAATAGCATTACTAACACGCACTAAACGTACATTTCCAACAATTGTTGTGAAGGATTGAGGTATGTTGGCCTTTTGTAGCAGACTGGCTTCTTTTCATCACAGCAGCGTGCACTGTGCCATTTGAAATCATTTTTAGGGTCAAGGGACACTGAAGTACATAAGCCCTTCAAAACGTCCAGTGGATGCCTGTCATCCCAGTGAATGTAATTCACAGAGATTGGGGGCTCATACTCCTCCTGCCAGTACCAGTCTGTAGTTAGTAAACTGCGGCGGAGACCAATCCAGCCATCCCCATCCTCCTTGGTCAGGTTATCAGCCATGTCCTTAAGGACAGATTTAGTTATAGGACAGGCAAACTGATTTCCATTATTCATGCAGTACTCACGAGACTTCTTCCAAGTCAGAGGGTCCTTTCCAATTGCAAATGCTCCAGGAACTAACACACAGCCATGAAGATCTGAATGCATGAACAAATGAACAGATTTTTACCTTTTGCCTTCCACCAGCCATTCAAAATTGAATTGAGAATGTCTATTAGAAATGACAGACACACAGACGGACAGACAGACAGACAGACAGACAGACAGACGGACAGACACAGACAGACAGACAGACAGACAGACGGACAGACACAGACAGACAGACAGACAGATAGACAGATAGACAGATAGATAGATAGATAGATAGATAGATAGATAGATAGATAGATATTCGTTTCAAATGAGATCTTTTACCTGGTTTTTCATTGATTGGTATAGCCGGGCCTCCAAACATTACTTTTGCAGACATATGTTCCAGCATATAAACGCCAATCCTTGATGTTGGATGCCAGATTGTGGCAATTTGATCTTGTATAGTTACAACAGCCGAAGAGTAGTTTGTGCCAGCGATTTCAGTCCAGTCAGATGCTGAGAGCAAACCACTATGTGTGTGCACATCATCTTTACTGTCTGTTTCAGCGATCACCAATACCTTGCCATTTGTTGAAGAAAATTGCAGCAGGAAGCAAGCAAAAAACATGGTTTCTGGGATCAACTCCACAATGACGCCCGGACTGAAAAGCCTGAGGGACACTCGCTCTGTTGCATTTACCAGCTGGGATTTCTGCAGCTCTGAAAATGGCAGAAGCGTTGAGGGAGTAGCCTGTAGCTGGTTACCATTGTGAAATAGCGAGGACGTGTTTTCTGACAGCATAAGTAACTTGGTCTCGGAATTGTTGAAGATGGAAGGTACGATAAAGCTCCGACCCTGAAACTTTGAGGGAAGAATCTGATTTATTACCATGTTACAGTTACAGCTCTGAGTCTCTACACATGGGTGGGTCAATATCACAGCGATTTCTTTGCTCGATTTGACCCTCAAAACAGAACCGTTGGTCTGAAGCTGGACCAGCTGGTAGGAATCCATACTGAATGTCTCTTGTTCGTGAGTACCTGATGTTGATGTTTGCTTGACTATAGTGACATCGTTTTGACTGTCCACCGCATTGATAATGAGTAACTTGAATGAGCTGTATCTCATGGTTGTACTGACAAGCCTAGGTAGGTTGAAAGATTCAAGATACTCTGGGTAATCCAGCAAAGGGATCAAATAGTTTGTGCCGAGATTTACTGTTGG